TCCTCTGCGGTCCTGCTGGAGGATGCGGGCGACGACAACATGGAGTTCTGCACCGCACCGCAGGCCCAGGCCCACGGGTCCAGGCCTCCCGGGTCCATGCGGGTTCCATCACGTGCGACGCGCATTCTGGACCTCGGCTGGGCGCAGGAGGGACAACTCACGGGGATTGAATTTGGGGGATTGTAGGCACTTAGGCCCGCTGGTGCAACCCGCGCCTGGTCGAGTTCAGGGAACCGGGGAGGGTGGTGTACGCGAGGGAACCGCTTTTTTCCCCCGCAGGCAGCTGGGATACCGCGCCTTCACTCTTGACCTTGCTGGGGGCGTTCGGAAAGAAGGACACGTGGGCCCGCGCCGAGTGGACCGGGTCGCCGCCCCCAGCATCGCGGCCTTGCTGGCTGCTCTGATACAGTAGCCTTGGGTGGATCCATGGAGATACTTTGCTGAGCTGCTTTTTGCACCGTCAGGAATACTTTCAGCTTCCCTGGTCACTGGGATTTGTAACTTGCCTGTCTCCGGCTGACTTGGTTTCTCAGGGGCCACAGTTGGAGTGGGTCTGCCCACAAGGCCGTTTTCGCGGTGAAAGATTAACTCGTTTTTGGCGGCAGGGATAGGTGGCCGTGGGGAAGGAGCTGCATGTGCTTTGTGCTAGTGCTATAGGTCAGGCGCCGGGGCGGCTCTTTAGCTTGCGCTAGTGGCTGATGTTCCGAAGCTGCGGCGCCTTCCATCATTCAGGTGTAGTGGCTGGCAGAGGTCAGCCAGGCTCACCATCTCACGTTGCTTGCTCTGTTGCACAGGTGCGCATGTTTGTGCTGCAGCGCAGCATAGGTGGTAGTACTGATTATCTATTTGCTTCCATCCCCAGAAATGCTTCGGTTACCCACAGTCTTTCGCCAGATGAGACCGGTGTCCAGAGTACTGGCTCCTCATCTCACTCGGGCTTATGCCAAAGATGTAAAATTTGGTGCGGATGCCCGAGCCTTAATGCTTCAAGGTGTAGACCTTTTAGCCGATGCTGTGGCCGTTACAATGGGGCCAAAGGTATCAGTATTTTTATTTTATTATAATTATGGTAGTATTAATAGCATTTTGCTCACAAATAGTCGCACTGAACTATTGAACAGTACTTTCGTATCCATTTTTGAGAACTCAGTTTACATGTAAGAATTCTGAAGTATTGGTTAACTTTTTTTTTTCTTAGACATGATCTTAAAGCTTAAACTGCTTCAGCCAGATTTTCGAAACTAGTTTGTTCAATGTGTGATGTAATCGGGTAGTAACATAGCTCAAGATGGATTCTTAAACTCGAGGTAGAATTTTGCTTGCCTAAGTTAAAATTTGGATCCTTTCTGAGTAGTTCATGCCAAGTGTAGAGAGAAGAGTTTAACTTATCTTCCATAATCCTTCAGGTATGTGCTTGTAGGTGCTAAATTTTTTTTTTTTTTTTTGGTTTATTGTAAAATGTACACAACATAAAATTACCATTAAGTGTGCACTTTGGGGACATGGGGACATTAATTACATTTATGTTGTGCAGTCATCACCACCAGCCATCTCCAAAACTTTTTATATGGGAAAATTGTAATTTTGTACTCATTATACAGTAGCTTCCCATTCTCTCTTCCCATTCTCCTTTCCCATAGCACCTCAAGATGCTAGTTGTACCCATCGGTTTTCTGCTGTTCTCTTGTTCCGAAGCATATTTAAAATAAGTCTCATTTAATAGGGGTAATATTTTGAGGGGGGCTTTGAAGGTGGTGTGCGGTCAAGTGGTGCTTCATTTCAGTTTGAAGACAGTTCAGATATCAAGTGATCCAAACAACTGCATAAAACACAACATTTGCACACCTCACGAATAGAAAGTAGCAGCTTTAGTTCAAATCCAAAGGATGGCCAATAACTGTGTCATGGTTGAAGTTGTATGTTGAGTGAACTTGGAAGAGCACACTACTTGCCTTGATGGTTAATATTTTAAACGAATTTTAAAACAAGTCACATTGCTTTAAAAGATAACAGGCACTAACTAAAACTTAGGTATAAGTGATAGGAAGATTGTTTTATTCTTTGTCTTGTGTTCTTGTTCATTTTATAAGATGACAAATTTTAGTCCCTAGTATTTTAATCTTCTAAATTACTTAGTTCAAAATTATGCTCTTGGCAGAGAAACAGGTCATTTTGTCTGTAGACAAAGAATGTCGATAAACTTGCCCTTGAGATTCATGCTGCAAGACTGATAAAAATGACACAACTTATGTGGAGACTTTGAAGTAGTTGCTTTATTATGAAGACTGCTCATTTTTTAAAATATAAGTAATCCTTAGGGTATGTGTGATCTGCTACATTTTTTTTCTTCTAGGGAAGAACAGTGATTATTGAGCAGAGCTGGGGAAGTCCCAAAGTAACAAAAGATGGTGTGACTGTTGCAAAGTCAATTGACTTAAAGGATAAATATAAAAACATTGGAGCTAAACTTGTTCAAGATGTTGCCAATAACACAAATGAAGAGGCTGGGGATGGCACTACCACTGCTACTGTACTGGCACGCTCTATAGCCAAGGAAGGCTTCGAGAAGATTAGCAAAGGTGCTAATCCCGTGGAAATCAGGAGAGGTAGGAATGTCTATTGTCACTACAGTGTTCTAAACTTCAGTGTGCTTTAAGGCATTGATTCCTTGGAGCTAAGGAGAGTGTCTGTTACTTTAGGAAATTGATCCTTCTCTCATTCCTCTTGGCCTGGAGAAATCTTAAACTGGGTTTTCCTTTAGCAAGTAGTGATTGAATGCCTGGCTATATGGTGGGTAGGTACTGTTAGGTAATTTTGATGTTTTACTTAGTTGGTTTCTTTTGTTTTTAGAGACAGGGTCTTGCTCTGTAGCCTAGGCTGGACTGCACGGGAACTCCTGGACTCAAGCAATCCTCCTGCTTCAGCCTCCAAGTAGCTGGGACTACTACAGGCACTCACCACCATTCCTGGCTAATTTTTAGTTTAGTTTTGTAGAAAGTAAGACTGAATACACTACATTCAGAATGTCAGAAAGTAATGTTTTCCTCAGTTTATTTTTTTTTATTTTTTTGAGACAGTCTCGCTCTGTCCCCCAGGCTGGAGTACTGTGGCATGATCTATGCTTACTGCAAGCTCCGCCTCCCAGGTTCACGCCTCCCGAGTGAACCTCCTGCCTCAGCCTCCCGAGTAGCTGGGACTACAGGTGCCCACCACCATGCCCGGCTTATTTTTTTTTTTTTTTAGTAGAGATGGGGTTTCACCGTGTTAGCCAGGATGGTCTCGATCTCCTGACCTCGTGATCTGCCTGCCTCGGCCTCCCAAAGTGCTGGGATTACAGGCATGAGCCACCGCGCCCGGCCCATTAGTTTATTTTTTCTTAATAGCCCACACCGTGTTATTGGTTTGTGTTTTGTTAGTGCTTGTAACTGGAGTGCAACTTAATTAACAGATTTGCTCCTCAGCATGAACTTCATGGCAGTGTAGACTTAAATTCTAGTCCCATCTTTGTCATTTATTAGCTGTGTGCTAAGACTTGGTTTTCCTATCAGCAGAATTGCTGTGTATATCCAGGGTATGTTAGGGTTGAAACCAGGAACCCTCTTGTGAGTGAAGGTGGGGGAGCTATTGATAATTTTTTGTCAGAATTGGCATACTAATGTATCATTACCTCATATATTTCAGTGTTTATGGACCAAGTGACTACACTACACTAAAAGCAATTTTACTGTAAATCACTAACAAGTATTAAGGTTATGAAGAGGACTTCCCCACACCTTGCATTGGATTTTTTTTGAAGTAACATTTCTCAAACAACAAGAGAGCTAGCACTACTCCCAGTTGAGCAAAATAGGACTGTTAAGAGTGATGTAAAACAAAAATATTTTGTTAGTTCATAATACATACTAAATTGAGGGGTTTTCAGATAATTGACACCTGCAGAGGCATAGTCACAACAGATTCCTATCACTTAAGAACTATACTTCTTGTTGAAAATAAGGGAGTGTTAACCATTTTGGTCCTTTTTTGCATCATCTAATGGACATGAGAAGTGTTGGGGACCCTAC